ACATTTTTATTACAGCACTATTCACAAGAGCCAAGATATGGATTGTTTCCATGTCCTTGCAATAGTGAATTGTGCTGCCATAAACATTCGGGTGCTGCCATAAACATTTTATTATAAAATGTCTTATGCTCTTTTGGGTAGATGCCTAATAATGCTATTGCTGGATTGAATGGTATTTCTATTTTTAGCTCTTTGACACAAGATCGGAAGAATGGGCTCCACATGTACTCGCCATCAAATTGGTACTGACTGATTAACACTATGGTGCTCAAATGGGGGTGGTGTTCAGCAGGGAATCAGGGGTTGGGGGGTAGACCCACATCTGAGGGATGTGGTGAGCATTGTGGAGGGGAAGGGCATACCTTTAACCATAGCTGGGGAGAAGCAAAGATATAAAATGCAACCAAAATGTTTGTACTCTCATATTTTCTTGAAATAAAAAAAAAAAAAAACAACCTAAGTGTCTATCAGCAGATGAACGGATAAAGAAAATGTGGCATATATACACAATGGAATACTATTTGGCCATAAGAAAAAGAATGAAATCCTGTAATTCACATCAACATGGATGAGCCTGGAGGACATTAAATGAAATAAGCAAAAACAAAAAAATAAATACCACAAGTTCTCACTCACATGTGGAAGCTAAAAAATGTTGATCTCATAGAAGTTGAGAGTAGAATAGTGGTTACTAGAGACTGGACAGGGTGGGAGTGAGGGGATAGGGAAAGACTGATTGGTTAAAAGATATAAAATTACAGCTAGATAGGAGAAATAAGCTCTGGAGTTCCATTGCACTGTAGGATGACTATAGTTAATAAAATTTATTATATACTTTCAAATAACTAAAAGAGAGGATTTTAAATGTTCCAAAAACAAATAATAAAAGTTTGAAGTGATAGATATGCTAATTACCTTGTTTTAAAAACTATACATTGTATTTATCTACACATCACTTTGTACCCCATAAATATGTACAACTATTGTGTGTCAATTTAAACAATTTTTGAAACAGGGAAACAATTTTTGAAACCATCCCATGTTCAGATGCCTCCAATGACTGGCACTCTTTTCTAGAAACATTTGAAATTTTCTATTGCCACCTATAAATAGAGAAGTACAGAATATTCAGTAACAACCCAACTACTTTCATAAGAGAATGCTGAAAGTCTATTATTAACTCTCTCTTGACTCTATCCATTTACTGTTACATAGCATAACATAGTGAGATTAGCTATTATTAACTCTTCAGGGTATGAAACAAAATTAACAAAAATAGAATTTCTATATTTTATCTTTTCTGAGAGTTTCATGGCAGTTTTTCAAAATGTATTCTAAGTACACATTTAGGATATCAGCTTCTGACCACAAGCACTCTGACCTTACACTCTGGTATATCATAGGACCATAAATATAAGGGATAAAATATCATAACATTTAAAATAAGTAATTATGTTAGAAAAAAACACAGATACACACCCCAAAACAATTTTAAAAATTAGTCAGTCAGGGTGGGTGTGCCAGTGATCCTAGGATGTGCTTGGCTGATAGAGTAGTCATAATCAGGACTACTGGAGTGGCCCAAAGTTGTATCAAATGTGGATCCATTCTCATAATTCCTAACACTTGAAGCAGATATTAATTCATTCTAATTTGTTTATTTTTGTCTTAGTGATGTAATCCCTTTATCACACTTCATTTTTAGTTTCCTGGATCATAATAATAAAATGAAGAAATAAAAATATAAATCTGTATCTAGATTTCTCAACAATAACAACAACAAAATGGCTTAGATTTTATTAAAAAGAAGACAAAGTACAGTTCAATTTAATGATGCAGAGTAGTGTTAATATAATTAATATAATTGAATACAATCCTCAATTAAATATTTCCTTTAATTAAATATTTCCTTTAATTTCAGTGAGGAAAACCCTTATTAATGCTTTTGATTTTTACAGATTATTGGATATTTTTAATTCTTAGTACTGGGGTAGGTATAAACAGTACATAATGTAAAACTGGGAAGATAAGTGTTAGAGGAAAGTTTAATATATCTAACAATATGAACTCATGTACTGAAACTGCTATGGAACTTACTGAGACACATTAATGTATTGCTATTCAGTAAATTCTATTGTTTTTCATGTTAACTTTTACAAGGAAAAGATTCTGGGCTTGTACCAAAAGTGACTGTGAATTAATTTTAATTATATTGAGATATATAATGAGGTGTGAGCATAAAATTGCATTAAAAACTGCTGTGGTCTATAGGCTGCCCCAGAACCTTTCTAATGCAACTGAATTTATTAGTTGTCTTTGAATGGTTGAAGGCTATGCATTCCAACTTATTAATTATCTTTGTGGAATAAATGGGCTGCTCATTTTTTAATTTGACTGACTTGTGATCTGTTTCTTAGAAGTGTATATACACATTTCTTATCTGGCATACACCAATGGTTGTTTGCCAATCATCCTTTTTTTTTTTTTTTCCTTTAGTACTAGAAGCCCCAAATTTTAGCTAGGCAAACGTCAGCTCAAAATGACATTTCCAACTTTTCTTCCACCTGTGTGTGGCCATATGACTGAGAGCTGGCCTGTGTGAATGTGGAAGTGACATTGGGCATCTTATAGGAAGTTTTCTCAAGGACAGGACGCTCACACTGCTTTATCCCTTTCTATTTTCTGACTGTAATTTAGCCCTGTTGGACCATATGATAAACTTGGGATGGAGACTATACATACAAAAGAAAGACAGCAAGGAGATATTATAAAAGCCCAGATCCTTCCATGACACTATGGAATGCCATTTCAGCCTTATGCTGCCTCCTCCATCCACATGTCTCAAAGGCAAGAGAGAAATAAATGTCTATATTATTTAGGTCACTATTAGTTGAAGTTTCTCTCTTGACCCTGTTAACATGGGACAATACGTGTAAGTCTATCTTTGGATGATGTGAGGTAAAATAGGGGACAGAAGTACTGAGAATAATGTTTGAGATATTTTTTGTAGGATGGAAAAAGAAGAATAGACAGGTCATATATAGGATAATTAATTGTCTGAAAGAATCTTTATAACTCTGCTTTTATTTAAGCTGTTTATTTCTTAACATAATGAATATAAAGTCACCTGTGCTATCTTGAGGCCTACCCATTCCCAAATAAGAACAAATGCCTTATGGATACCCAGGTACTCTGGATACAAAACAGGACACCATTCCTTACTAATGAAGCTCAGGTGCCCAAGCAAAAATGAAACCACAGATTTGGGTTGAGCAAGAGGATTGTTGTATATACTGATAACTTTCTAGAAAGAAATTAATTTGGGGAACATACTATACTATCAGACTGTCCTAAGGAGAAAGAAGGAGATAACAGCTCTCTCTAGTAGAAATGCCTTTAATGAGAGAGACAGAAGATAGGAAATATGATCAAACAAGGAAATTGATGATGACGTTCACACAAGAAAACTACTTGTCATACATTTTGAAGCACATGAAAAATAGGGCACAAAATCAAGACTTTTCTATAATTTTCAAAACCAATATTTTTACCTTTTCTTCTTTGATTTTTCTTTTTATTCAACAGTAAGAGTGTTCCTCTTTTGGTGATGATCACTATGGGTATAGTGTTAAATTTGGCATCTCTGTGTGAACATAGAACATAACAGAGAATGGACAATTGTTCACATTTTACTCATTTGAGCACTGACACTGAAAATGGCAATTGATATGTTTCAGAGTCCCTGTCCCCAGGATGCTTAGTTCCCAATATCAGAGGACACCTATATCTCCACCTGCCTCACCAACTTCTATTCTCAGACATACATGAGGCTTTAAAACATTACCCTACCAGCTATCCTTACAAAAAAAAAAATCAATTAAATAATGTCTTGATAAAAGGAAACATATTTGGTCCTCGGTAAATGAGAGTGGTATAAAGATCTTGGAAAGTGGAATGACATTTTTTAAATGCCTTCATAGGGAAGAGTAATCAAATTATAAAACAAGAAGGAAACAAAGACATCTTGATGCCTGGGTTTAAACGAAGAATCAAAGAATAAAACATGTCTATGTACTAAAAATGGTGAGCTTATGGTTGACGCGCCTATGTTTTGTGCAGGAGTGGTAAAGAGGCAGGAAGGGAGATGGTATAGAATAATTAGAATAAGGATAAAACAAATGTCTGCTTCTGTGTTTCAGGTGCAGCTCACAAAAGTTTGGTTTTGCTGCTATCAGTTGGAAAAGAGATGTACAGGTACATACTAAATGCAGTAGGCTACTCCAAGTATAGACCCAATGTGATTATATATGATCTATTACTAAATACTATAGAACAAAGTAGAATGAGTAGCTATGCTACTGACAGATGGCTGCTGGTAGAAAGACTCAATAATAGGAAAATGCAAGTGCCCTAAAGGATATGCATAGATGTTACCTATAATAACAACAAAACCCAAACTCAGTCAATTTCTGACTGGATTGACTCAACAAAATCCCAAAACTATAGATTCTGGGTAAGAAGAAGAATTCAGGTTCATTTATTCACATCATTCACTGATATTTAATACACCACAGCATTCCCACCTATGTGAATATTTCACATCATGGGAAACTCTATATCAACACAACAGTCCATCCTATATATGGACTGTCAGAAAGTTCTCCCATTCATGTTGAACTTAAGTCTATTGCCATTGTTGCTAGATTTATTCCTTAGGTTCATAAAGAGTGCACCTCAGCAACAGTGTTTCAAGTAGCTAAAGACCCACCATGTTCTCTCTTACCACACTTTTTGCCCCTTTGGTAAGGAAGAGCTTTGGTCTTCTTCCTGAACAAAGTTTCTAAAACAACTAAGAGAGTGATTCTAATCAACACCAAGATGATGCAGCTTCTCCTCACCAACCTCTATATAATTACAAAATATTATTAGAGGCTAATCACCCAGGTCCAACTTCACAGAAATCTGAGAGAAGTAAAACCAAACCACGTGTTCAGAATTACCTGTGAGCAGCAGCCACCTTGGTTCAGAAATGTTTCCTTCTTCCCAGAGCACTCCCTTCTAGTACCAGAACCGTTGAGTGCTCCTGGAGACTGAGCCACATTCTTGTTGAACGTGAGGATGTGAAGAGAGAGATTTGATACTGACCTTCTCTAATGACAGTATACTATCTACAGCAGCCAGTTTAGGATGTAAATGCAAGGTTAAAGCTCAAGTTCAAAGACTGTATGTTTCGCACAGCTGGTATTTTTTCCACCAAGAAAATGCCCATCACATTCTAAAATTTGCATTAAGTTTTGCACCAGCAAAGAAGAGATGAAAAGATTCCAGGCCTCACAGAAAAGGACTGAAAAACAGCTTCAGTGGAATCTAGAATTTAGAGCTCTCACATGGGACTTTGCCTGCTATTCTGTATTCTAAGAGACATAGGCTTTAATCACTTGCCCCTAAACTCACAAAGTAATCATATTTTTTCTTTTTAAAATTGATAATACACTATTCAAGGTAACATATACGTGTTTCAGAGGACGTTCAAAACAGAAGGTATTCACTAGTTATGTTTATTCTGTGAAATAGAATATCTTGAACTCGATCTATTCACAATTGTATACTCCAAGTGTACAGATAATATCAAAACCTAAAGCCAGTCTAGATTATGGAAATAAGTACCAACTCCATGAATGAGCTCCTCCTTTACATTGGGAGGAAGGGTCAATATGTTTTAATAGACGATAGCAGATGCTGAGGCCAAAATAACTATATACACAACAAGGGAGATATCTTTATGGGATCCAGCTAATGGGGGTCAGGTTCCCAGATAATGTAGCCCTTATGCTGCACCCATGGAGAAAAAGTAAGATCCACGTAAAAGAAAGGGAGATTCCATGGCATTTGGGGTGGTGCGAATAGTATGATCCAAAGTGGGGCGGCAGGAGCGGCAGATGATCTCCATTGAACAGTTAGTCCAATTGGACTGGAAGGAGGGATTCAGTGAGAGAGCGGTGGAAAAGGCGGATAAGTTAGAGGCAGGGGAAAGGTCTTAAGATGCTGAATTATTAATTAAAAAACTTAAACTTGTTAGGGAAAGAGACATTCCCACCAAGACGACTATCTTATCATTGACAATGTTTAAAGTTGCTGGTACATGGTGATTATAAAATTTTATATTTTAGTTAGCACTGTTAATGTTTTTAAAGTCTCTGCAGATAATGCCTCTCCTTTTTACCTACACGCAGGGGCTGACTGCTTCCATCTCCTACTTGGTACCTTAGTGGTTTAGAAAAAGTTATAGAAACTTTCTTGTGAAATATGCTTATATTTGACACAAATATCTCTCTCTGTCTCTGTCTCTGTCTCTCTCTGTCTCTCTCTCTCTCTCTGTCTCCAGAGTGCTTACAATTTCCTTTATTTTCCTTAATCCCCAAACAAACCTGTTACTTAATCCCAAAATTTTCCTTAATCCCAAGACAAACTATTACTGTCTCCACTTTATAAATGAGGAAAGAGGCTTAGAGAAGTTAATTGGCTTGCCCAAGTTCACACTGCCAATAAGTAGCAAAACAGAGTCAAATTTTGGTACTAAATTGCACGTCTTTAACAAGTTTTCCTATTTTAATTGTCATCAATAATTAATAGTTTTGCAACCCTTTGAAACATATTTGTGTCATGTTTTTAAACTGTCATTGCTGATCGAGTTTTTCTCACACATTCTATGCTGCCACCATCTGGTCTCTTGTAAAACTTTCAAGCTTTTCTTCCGGAGTCATTCTCAATCTTATCAGAGTTTTGCATTCCCTTGAAAGAGGGCTGAAATTGGTGTGGACTGGATTTACATTACTGAAAAATTCCTAATCTTATCAATATACTCTCCTTGTGTAAGGGTCATAAAGAGATTAAAATGGAAATTAATTGACTAATGAAATTTTCCTGGCAAAAGAGAAATTCATAGCAAATCACTGTGCAAAAATGCTGCTAAGGGGATGTGTCAGTTCTGGATTCAGAGTGCAAAGTGAGTTTGATGCACTTTTCCCTTGGTCAACTGTGGGAACCTTGAATTAATAAGTAAGGGAAAGTAGGCAAATAGAACCAAATCAATAAGGCCATACAGATGAGACTTGAAGAGCAGGGAAGAAACCAGGAGAAAGTTGATGCTTAGGTTACTGACTTCTGAAAGGCTGATGGCCATAATCCTATGAAAATAAAACATGTTCACATTTGTAAGAATGAGAACAATAAAACCCTTGCCAAGTCTTTACCATCATCTGGTTTCCTCTGCCAATCTCCACCTACCACAAACCACAGATTGTATTAAATGTGACTCGCCCTGTGGGAAGCAGGGGAGAGAAATAAAAAAGGAAAACATTTTGATGTGGAAGGAGTGAGAGACAGGGAGTTTGCAGTTCTGTGTTCTGATCTGCCTCAATGCCTTCCATCTATTCCTGAGTAGTTCAATCGGCTGATTTAGAAGTGCCTTCGCAGTTCTCACACCTTGATTCCCCTCTTGAGAGTATAACCTCAACACCATCAGGAGGTTATCAGAATATTGAGGACAGAAAGGAAGACAACAGGTGTTTAGTGCCTACTACTTTCCAGGCACCAAGTAAGGAACTTCAAACCCATTGTTTCAGCTAACTGATAGAGTAACCCTATGAAATAGAGATCATTACCCCTCACCTAGCACTTACTAATGTATGGGATACTATTTAAAATATTCTAATCAATAAATCTTCACAACAACCCTATGAAGGTAGGGATTATCATCACTGACTACATTTCACAGGTGAGGGATCCGAAGCCCTGAGAGGTTAAATAACTTGCCCAAGATCACACAGTTAGTAAACATGGAGCTGTTAGAGTCCACCTGGTTCCTGTGTCTATGCTCTTAGCCAATACAACACTCAACACCTCTGCAATACACGCATACACATAAACTTTATTATTAGCCACTCTGGTAAAATGTTGGGTCTTAGTAGAGACTGCAACTTGTATCACAGCTAATTGAGGTTTGAGATTGACTATTGGTCAATAGTGGATGCCATTATTCATGTCACTAAGGTTAATAAAAATAGTTCATAGTGTCCTGTATTTTAAAGTGCTATTTTTGAACATCTATAAATCTATAAATGCATAAATGTCATAGAGGATTTTCTTTGACCTCCACTCAAGTCTCCATATTGCATCATCCAAGATATTTCTGTATTTAATCTTAAAATGTTCCACTTTTAAAATACTGAATTTTTTAAGTTCTGCAGAATCATTACAGGCACTGTGTTTTGAAAACAATTGTTCAATTTAAAGGTTTTTGTAAAAGGAGGCAATCATTCCAATTCTCTTCAAAGTAAGCACAAGGCTCCCAGCCCTCACTTAGAAGACTGTAATAGAAATAGCTAACTTAGAACTTTAGTCAGTGATACTTTTCTAACTTAGAGATTGACATGAGCAGTCTTTTTATTTTTCTGGCCCTTGGAGATATTCTCTTCAGCTACAGAGAGCTTTGAAACGCCCTTTCATTGATCCATTTCTTCTACTTTCTAAGAAAAGCAAAAAAATCAACAAAATTCTGCTTGTTACACCAATAACTGTGTACATTTTTAGGGGAAGCAATTGCCCCAACATTTCTCTTGGATCTGCATGACACAGTGAACTGACTTCCCAACAAGCTGGCCTCTTAATTTCATCTTGCTCTGAAAGTAAAAGAATAAAGGGCTCAGTGATGTTGAAGCAACACTCCCAACGGCCAAGAAGAAAACCTTAGTGCCCATTCTCTCACTGGCAGACTGGGAGCAAGGCTAATAAATTTCTGGCACACAAAGAAACATTTGCTCCTGTATCGGACTAAGTCCTGATTTTTTATTTATTTATTTATTTTTTGAGACAGAGTCTCACTTTGTTGCCCAGGCTAGAGTGAGTGCCATGGTGTCAGCCTAGCTCACAGCAACTTCAAACTCCTGGGCTCAAGCAATCCTCCTGCCTCAGCCTCCCGAGTAGCTGGGACTACAGGCATGCACCACCATGCCTGGCTAATTTTTTTTATATATATTAGTTGGCCAATTAATTTCTTTCTATTTATAGTAGAGACGGGGTCTCGCTCTTGCTCAGGTTGATTTTGAACTCCTGAGCTCAAACGATCCGCCTGCCTCAGCCTCCCAGAGAGTTAGGATTACAGGTGTGAGCCACCACGCCTGGCCTAAGTCCTGATCTTTAAATTGTGAAAACCCTGCCAAGCAATATGGCAATGGGCCAATGAGAGGGTATGTATAGCTTAGGTTTGGGGTTTTGTTGTTGTTGTTGTTGTTGTTGTTGTTTTCCTTTCTAAATGCTTCGTGTAGACAGAATGAAAAGATTGGGAGAGCTGGAATTAACTATTAACTATCCATTTCTCCCCACTATATTGCCAATTTTGTAAAATGACAGGTCTACATTTACTTGCACTTATTATTCCTATTGTCTGGCTTCTGGCCCCAACTAATACCCTGACAGTTAGTTACCAGACTTTTCTACTTTTCAAACCCAGTAGTCCCTTCTTAGTTCTCATCTGCCTCAGCCTCCAATGTGTTTGACATCATATAATAGTTTTGAAAATCCCTCTTTTCCATGGCTGCTCCCTCCTTGTTCTTTTCCCTTTTCCCTACTTCTTGCTCTACACTCATTTCCCAGCGATTAGCATACATGCTAACTCGTAGGAAGGCAAAAATATTCTACCTTCGTGTAAATCAGTAGAGAGCATGGCATTCAAGAATCAGGCTGTCAAACTGACATACCCAGACTTGGTTCCCAACTTTACAACTTCTTGGTCTTAGTGTTTGTGTCCCCCTAAAATTCATATTTTGAAGGCCTTTGGGAGGTGATTTGGTCATGAGGACTCCACCCTCATGAATGGGATTAGTGCTCTCATAAAAGAGCCTGGAGAGCCCCCTTGCCTCTTCCACCATGTGAGGACACAGAAACAAAGTGCTATCTATGCAGCAGAGAGCCCTCAGCAGACACTGAATCTGCTGGCACCTTGATCTTGGACTGCCCAGTCTCTAGAACTGTGAGCAATAAATTTCTGTTGTTTATAAATTACTCACTCTAAGATATTTTGGTATAGCAGCCTGATCGAACTAAGACAATCACTTACTATAGGCATATTACTTTATTTCTCTGAGCCTCTGTTTCCCTCATCTGTAAATATTGATTATAATAATATTACCATTTTTTAGGTTTGCTTGAGATGATTCAATTAAATGTTTGAAAAATGCCATGTTCATGGCACATTAGTGTTTCAATAAAAATTACTGTTTTTTTATTTCAAGGAAATATGAGAGTACAAAGATTTTGGATGCATTTTAT